GGTGGGCCCACCGGGACTCCCCGGGATGAGCCTTCCCTTCCCTCCGGGCAGGCCGACCCTCGCCACCCGGCCCGGCGCGTTTCCCCCTCAGCCCGCAGCTTTCTGCGAGCCAGGTGCCCAGGGCTGAGCTGCCCAGCACTGGGTCGCAGGGGAAGCTCCTGATGCGCCTTGCAGCTCTGTCTCTGCTTGCTTATCGCAGCGTAATAGTTGGTTTTCTCCCAACTTGGACGAGTTTTTCCTTCTTCAGTTTCGTACGGCCCGGATCTTTTCCTGCAGGGCTGTTGTACAGCCACGTGCTGCCTGTCCAGTGTTGGGGGCGGGTGGTTTAAATGCCCCTGGCAAGTGTTTCATCTTCCTCAGAGCCCTTTGAACGATACTTCTGCTCCATTTAGTCGGCATCGTTTTGAATTGCTCGCTTTGTCTTTTCCCACAGCTGTGTCTCTACCAGCTGCGCGTTGTCTGCAGTTTAATAACTGTCCTGAATATACTTAGCAGTTTTCCATAAAGTTATAAACAGGGCCAGACCCTTGGGGACACTAAGCCCAAGTATTCGTGTTCATACAGCTCTGCCATTGAGTAAGAGTGGTCAGGCCTGGGCTGTGTTAAAAGCCGAACAGATTTAAATTTTTTTGTCTATTTTAAAGCACTTTTTGGGTGAACTAGTCTTTTTAAAACATACTGTGCAGTTTAGACATGCATGTGATTATTAACTGTAACACATTTAATGAGTATTTTACAGTTTTCTCATTGGATTTGTTTTCTTTTTGTTTACTGGACAAAATATTCTTAACTGTGTGTTTTTCAGTGGGATATTCTGCAGTTGCACTTAATCATGTCATCGATTTTAAAGAAAAGAAACAGGTAATTTTTTGGGGGGGTTATTTGTTCTTGCTGTGTTTTCTCTAGTAAACCTGCTGCTTTATTGCATGTTTCCAGATGTCTAGATGTGTGTTCTGCAGCTAAAGCTACAAATACGAATCTCTCTCTTTGTAACAAAACTCCCATTTTATGTTTCAGTAGAACTGCCCTGGGATTAATTTTTAATATGGTTCCTGTACTGTCCCACAAAAATAGTTTTCTTAGCATGGTAAATTTCTTTTCAAGATTGGAACACACTTTTGTTTACATGTAAACCTACCCTGTGACATTTTTAATAACTTTGTTCTGTTCTCTTTCAAGGAAATCATCAAGCCAGTGTCGCCTTCAGAGTTGTTTCCATCTTTACCTATTGTACAAGTATGTCTAGTTACATTCTATATATATATATATGGTTATTCTGAGTTAACTTTTTTAACCTTTGTTTGTTTGGATATGTGATTTTGTATATGAGGTGTTAATCAAAAAAGAGAAGTTTGTCTATTATTTCATGGTTAAAACACGAAGTACTGGAAAAATTGTACACTCTCATCAGGGTAGGCTCCATTCATTATTTTAGAACTTATTTTTAAAATTGCTTTGTGTGAATTCTGAATCTGCTTGTAGTAGAATAATTACAGTACAATTCTTGAAACTGAAGTTGTCAAAATAACTTTATGGTTTTGATGGAACAAAATTTGGATATAAAGAAGTACAAGACTGTGTTTTGGGTCACTGACATTGATTAATAAAAGAACTGCTTTTTCTTGCAGTTGTGGCCTGCCTGAGGAATCATAGCAGTAATAAAACATACTCAATTTTTCTGCATGATTCTTTTTCTTAATTTTTTTTCCCTTTCTATTCATCCTCCCCCAGAGAAACACAGTAAGTCATTCTTTGTAAGGACAAGTATAATATCAAAGAGATAATGTAAATTAGGGAAGTGTAACTACAGACTTAGAAAATTAGTATAGCGAGACTGTAAGAATGACACCATTTTCTTTTTATAGCAGACTAGGGTGGAAATTACCACAAATTTGTGCTTTGGGTTTTTAAAATTTTTTTATATTATTCCTTTTTCTGTAGGGGACATCTAAAAAAATTAAAGTCTTGACCCGGTTAACACTTGTTGTTTCTGATCCTTCCCACTGTAATCTCTTGGTAAGTATACTCAGCAATCAATTTTGCAACTTCTATTTCCTTTTCTCAATGAATGAATGAAACTTTGGAAATTCTATGGCCACAACATCCTGGAATTTATAGGGTACTCAGCAGGGATTTCTGAGATTGCATCTTTAATAAATAATGTGATCATGAGGAGATGCAGACTTATAAGACTGGGTATGGCTTCTGTTGATCATTTGGCAGTATGGAACAACAGTTCTGGTTCTTGGTTTCTGGACTTCTGTGCATAAACTAGAAGACCATGAGCAAGCCTCGTGTCTGGTTATGTTTTTATGCTACAAGATCAAAGCAAAAAGTATAAGTGTCTTAGTAAATGGGTGGGACAAGCCTCAAACTGAGAATGAATGACTTCACTGTAGAAACCTGCTGTGTTACTGGCTTTGTTTTAGTACTTGACAGGGACAAAGGATTTTTATTCTCATTGTTTTGGTTGTAACCATTGTGCATAGCTTTGACATCTGCCATAATTCAAGGTAGTAATTGTTTGCTCCTTTTATAGAGATCGACATCTGCAAATATAAGGTTATATGACATCATAGCAGTATTTCCAAAAACTGAGAAACTATTCCATGTAAGTACAATCATCTCATCAGTAATGTTTATTCAGTAACCTTTAGGGCCTAATACTAATTTAATTACATGCTTTGTTTTGATTTTATTTCCCATTTTATAAATACCTCATGGAGTTAATCAAACATTATAGACTGCCTGGTCAGTTGATAGGCTGAGGGGTTTGAGAGGATTTGAAGGAGCCTGCAAGACCCTGAGGTGACAGGTTAAAGTCTGAAACATCTACCTCATCCACCTGATGAATGGACTTGTATGCACCTGCACTGTGGTTCCCTTTGTGTGCCTTGTACTCCAGTGAGGAGAAAAACATCCTTTTTTCCCCCCCAATATATGTGCACTTTTCATGTAGAAAACTTCTGTTTACAGCTTTAACTTCTCAAACTCTTGTCAACTTCCCTAAAATGCGCTTGTAATCCTCTGTTAGAACTAATTATTCCTGGTCTCTAAAATGCTAGGCAGGATAAGTAAGCAGCTGTGGAAGAACATGAACTTTAAATAATTTTTCAGCAGAATTCAAGCATTAATTATAAGAGTTACAGCTAAATGAAACCAATTTCTGAATTTTATTTCCCTTGCAAGATTTTAGGACTCTTGGGGTTGTGACAGAGGCAAATGGTTTAAAATATTTTTTGAGAGCCACTCTCCACCTTTCTTTTGATCTCTGGCGATAGTATAAAATCTCACATCTCAGTTTATCATGTGTTAAAACAAGCACCTGAAACTAGGTAATCAGCAGGGGTGTGCTGTGAGGGTTTTTTGGGAAAAGGGTATACTCTCACTTAAGTGTTATTATTGTTTATTTTCAGCCATATCATGACTCCTGCTGCAGTTGGACGTCCAGCTGTGGCAGCGTTTAAAGTGGCATAAACAGCCACTCATTTCTGCAGGTCCCTGTCTTTGCTGCTGAGGCTGCTTGCTTGCTTAGCTGCATGGCAGTTTGCTTTGAGGAGCCTGCTTTTGGCTGAGCAGTAACCGCAGTTTTTGCCAAGTTATTTTTCAGGCAGATCCACTTTCCCGATGTGATTCAGCAGCCAGCCACGCGGAGAGTTGTGCCAGGGCAGAGCGAGTGGCTGTGCTCTGGCAGGCTGGTGCAGACAGTGCCTGGTTAAGCTGACACTGGCAGGTGATGGACAGGGTGTGAGGAAAGAAGCAGGATTGTCAGTGAGATTATCTTCATTGCTTCCATGCTGGCAGCACTTTGTGCTGGGGTTGGAACCCAAGCATGTTTCTTGCAAACTGCATGAGGTGAAAGACTTCATTCTTCCATTTTTACATTTAGGGCAAGTTTGTATGGTTGTCTTTTGTTTAAAGATTTTAGAGTGTCTCACTTTGTGGGGAGCTGGTTCAGTTTCACGGAGGTATCACACAGGGAGTCTGGTGAAAGGGACATTACACAGGGGGTTTCAGCACATACAGTTTGGCTCTTACAACTCATAGATATTTCAATATTAAGAATAAAGCTTTTAAGAGTGGGTCTTGCATGACAAATTAACTTCCTATTGGCTTTTGGTAATTCAACATTGCCTCTAGAGCATCGTCTTTCTCACCAGCAATTTGGCACTTGTATTTTCTCCATAGAACAAGATTTTTCATGTTTTTGTGAAAAAAATTACACCAATTTTAGCATGGCCCAAAACTGTGCCCTTTTGTCAGAAGCCAGAGAAGCTCTTTTGTGAAAGTGGCAGAGATATGTACTGAAAGATGTGCTCAACACTCAAATTCTTCAAATAATTTATATCCTTAAGGAGATGAGGAAGTCATGTTTGCCAATTGTAGAATAGGCTCCTTGTTTAAGTCTCCCAAAAAGATTGTTTTGGCCTGCAACAGGAATGCCCACTCCATGCAGGTAATGGGGTCTGTACTTGCCACTTTTCAAAAATTTTGCTTTCTGAGATTTTTGCTTTAATAATATTAGTTAGCTCTATCTGCTGTTCGTAAGCACTTAGCACATCACCAGTATCTAAAAAACTTACATATGTAAGTCTGAAGATGTAATGCAAAGTCAAATTTCAATGTTTTTTCCTAAAACGTTTGCCAAAGCTTGCTTCAGAGCATCCAGACAGTGGCAGATGTATTTATTAATGGCTGGCTGGAGTTTCCCAGCAGATGGGGCTCTTGCCCACAGTGCTGCCAGACAGTTGCTGGGCTGTGCAACTTGCTGCTTGTCATTTTCTGGATGATGTTGTTTCACTTCAGATTTTTTCAGCAGGAAGGGTAACCTTAACTTGCCTGCATATCTTGTCTGACTTGTCTGGGAGCCAAAGCTAGGCTGAGCATTAGAGTTCTTGGAGAAATCTGCTCTCCAGTTTTCCATACAGTGCAGGAGTTCCTCATGGGGAAATATGACTTTGTTTTGTTTGTTTTTCCTTGGTGGTATTTTATGAAACACTCATGTCACTGGAATCCTGTAGATATCCCAGCTTTTGAGTCACCCCTTCTCCCACTGTGCTTTATTTGCAAAATGGTAGAGTATTCCAGTGTTTCTGGAGCTGATTAGGAGGGCTTGATTTCTCATCACATAGGGCAAATTTCATTATGTCTGTTCTTGCTTTCCTTAACTCTTAGCATTATATCTTCCTGAATTTATTATGACCTCACTGACATATTTTCTAGGGCATGATTTGGAGCTATTTGTTCTGTGCATGTTCCCATAAATCACCTCTGTGTAGTAGTTTGTACCTCTTGTAGGAAAATGAGGGAAATTGACTGTAGTAGGGCTGAACTTCCTCATGTAAGTCTAATTCTATGCCATGAATTCCACAGGCAGCCCATGTCCTGCCTAATGGAGGATAAAGGTAGGGCATGAAGGAAAAGTTTAGTCTGAATGTCCTGGCAGAGACATTTCAACTTCAAAATCTTTGTGGTTTGCCTGCACGTGTACTATGGTGGTCTTGTCTAGGATAGAGTTGCTATCAACAGCTAAGAAGTATTCCTAAAGCTGGGCCTCTGCTCTCATCTCCATCCAAATTCCATGTGAACAAACTGGTAGAAGACCAGTTTGCCGAGCAGTAGTGTGCCTTGTGTTACAGCAGCCCTTACCCCTGGGGCTTCTCACAGCCCCCACTGCTTTTGTGCTGGTGGGAGGAGGGATGAATGGTTGGCACCTGGCCCAGGTGTGTTTACAGCAGCTTCTGGCAGGTTTCTGAGTGCAGAGAGTTCCCCTACACACAGAAAATTTCTTTCCAACTTCTTCAGCCTGTCTTACCTTCCTTGTTACAGCACTACTTACAGACATTAGTCTGGCCCTGTGTAATCATCCTTGCGGAGTAGGCATATATAATTCCTACCTTGGGTGCATGAGATTAATGTACATCAAGGACTGCCTTTTAGGTGCCCTTACTTTTCTCTGTATCTCAGTGTGAGGAGCCTCTGCCCCTTGTTCATCCCCTCCATCTCTTAATACAACCTGTAAATTGTGGTGTGAATTCAAAGCTTAGCTCTTAAACTGTAGCCTTCAGTGCTGTCTCCAGACTCTGCCAAAGGTGTGGCTGTCAGGAGGAGCTGCACGTTCTCCACCAGCCAGGAAAAGGGAGGCTCTGAGGATTGGTTTGCAGTATTGGGTGTGTAGCACCACCAGTCACAGTCACATTCTGTGTTTTTTTCATTCTGTTCTCTATTGCTTCTGGTAAAAGTAATTAATTCTGAAAACAAGCAGGAGCTGTGCTGGAAGCAGAGCATGATGGGACATGAGGCAGTTCCTGGGCTCTTCCCTTCGTAAAGTGGAGTTGGCCTTTATAATCTGAGTTCTTTTGTCAAAAGCCAGCATTGCTTCTGCCTGTCCTCTGTCAGATAAAAACAAAGAAGTATTGGGGCTGACCATTATTTTATTGGAAAATTAGTTCTGTAAGAAAGGGAAGAGTTGGTTTTTAAGTCTCAAATGCTGCTGTTCTATTGGCATACTTGCAAGGCATAGTACCTCTTAATTTTAAAACTGAGCTCAATTTGGAAAGACATTTTTTGCATTAAGAAATGAAGGAGAATATTAGTGGACCTTAAGTTGGTTATGCATTTTTTGGCATATTTAATAATGTGTTCCTATTTCTTTGTTGTAGATTGCTTGCACGACACTAGATGTGGATCTGGTCTGCATAAATGTAACGGAAAAGCTGCCATTCTACTTCCGAAGGCCCCCTGTGAATATGGTAAATTTACATCTAAATTGTTCTCTTGCTGTTAGACTGACATTAAATACAGAATTTGAGTCAAATTCCCTGCTGCTTTCCTCCCACCATTCCTATCCAAGTGGTTCTTTTATTTTCTTGCATAGTGTATAGTGTTGTTTCAAATGTCCTTCACTTCAGGGCCTCCACTGCAGCATTTAATACACAGTGATGTATGTTGTTTCTTTTTCTCCTCTGTCCCCCACTTAAGAAGGCAGAAGTGGTGTTCCCAAGGAGTGGAAACAGAGCCTTAAGGCCACTGTGCTGCTAAGCAGGGAGATAAGGTGTGATTGCTGACTAAGCTGCTTCCCAAACCAGGAATGGTACAGCTCTGTCAAAATGGATAAATAGCCTTGATTTAAAAGACAGGAAATGTGAATGGCAGTGTTCATTTGGGAGAAGGATGTTGTGCTGGTTACTTGAAGGACAACTGTATTGAATCTGTACTTGGACAGAAGAATGTCTTGGTAAATGAAGCAAATGTAGCATTGCTAAATATGTGCTGTGGGACCCAAAATGGCTATCAGTGTGGATCAAGTATAGTTCTGCCTGCTGTTGGTAGTTTGCCAGAAAACTTAATCTGAACACTTTCTTAGGGGAACTGGTTTTCTCCTCTGAATATATGTAAAGGTTTGTTCCATGTGGGCATTCTTAGCTGATGTAGAACTTAGTACTCAAAAATTTGAATTTAGAATTGGCTAGTAATCCTACTTCCTTTTCTTAGAAAGTTTGACCTAGACTAAAAATTCAAAGTTATCTAGAATTAATTCTGAGACAGAATAAAAATAATACATTGGTGTTTATGATAAACTGAGGATTTCGACATTCCACATGGAATAACAATTTTGTATGAAACACTGTAAGTACCCTAGCTGTCTAAAACTCCAGCAGCTGGCCCAGATAACGAGCTGTGTGGCTCTTAGAGCTCTGTGTTGGGAGACATTTTCCTTCCAAGCTACTTCTCATCTTCACACTCCCAGCTTCAAGGCAGTCTGTCTGTTGGACTGGTCTGTGTGTCCTGGGGCAGTCAGCTTTGGTTGTTAAGATGCCAGACAGGCTGGCAGGCAGCTGAAGTGGTAGGGATGAGGTTAAAAATCACCTTGACTGGAAGTGGGTATATTGCCATTACCTGTTTGGTTTTGATAAATGCAGGCTTCTCTTGTTTGCAGCTATCAGGCCAGTTCTGTGTAAAACATTTGATGCATATATATAGCTTCTGTTGTGCTTGCATGCAGAGGTCACGCATGAGTGGGAACTGGATTAATTCCAGCTGTATTCAGTTACTGGATTCTCTTACAGTATTACCATTACAGCATATTTTAATAATATTTGTGTAAATGTAGAGTATCATTTCAGGCAAATGTAGGATTGCCACGGAACAAAGAGCTCCTGGCTTTACATTGTGTCTTTATCACTAGCACATGTGCAAGTTGCTTAACCTTTCTGTGTTTGCAAAAACAGGAACACTAGGCTTTTGGTGAGGCACTTTGACAGATAGCAAAGGATGTCAAAGTAGCTGAAAATATACTCAGTATTACTATTTGAAGCCTCTTCTGTGACTCATTGTTATTTAACGTTTTCACAAACCCCAGAGTGTGCTGTGAGACAGGAGGAGGGTCTTCTTTGCTGCTTTTGTGCATGGAGGAATTCTTCATCTGCAATACATGGGGGAAGTGGTGATCTTTCTTATAGCAGTGTGTGGGTCTAGAGGAGTAGGGTCCTCAAAGTTTCAGGACAGCAGATAACCAGCAGTGGTTCTCTATGTCCTCGACTCCGTGATCTTTTGTATATATTAGTGATAGCCAATCACAACAAATAAGTGGTTGCTATTTGTTAAACCTCATTTGTCTGTCATCCAAGATTTATGCGTATGTATCTCGTGTACAGTGAGGCCTTCCCCCGCTCTCCCTTCCTGCTATGCTGTGCTCTTACTGGAACAATTCTGCCTTAATTTTTTCATATGTGACACAGTTAAACTGAGAATAAGCTACAGCAATAATAGACAGCAGTTGTTAGATTGTTAGGCTTCTCTCCTTTTGATTTTTGATCACTCTCTTTCATGTGAAGGCAATAGATCGAGGCATTTACTTTGAACTTCTTTACACGCCTGCCATCAAAGACTCTACAATGAGAAGATACACAATTTCAAATGCCATCAGCCTGATGCAGATCTGCAAAGGAAAGGTAAGCTCTCAAAATGAAAACAAGGTAATTAAATCAGTTCAAATTCTTTCTGGAGTTGTACAGTCTGAGCCATTTTAAATGAGTTTGATGTTGGGACATCTGAAGCAGTGACTAAATCTTGGCCTATTAATACCAGGACACAGTCATTCTAGCTCCAGATACTTCCAGTCGTGCACCACTGCATGCTTTCTTCTTAAGCTGTCAAGCTGTTAGATTCTTTTCCCAAAACAACCCATGTGTTGTTATGGTATGCAGTTCCCAAAACAAAGGTGGGACGGGATGGAAGGAGATTAAAGGGTCAGACATCTAAGGTTTGCACCAAACTGAAATTCATGTATGTCTTTAAAATCCTCCATTTCATATTTCTCATTGGCCAAAAACTCTTTTGACTGTCTACTTTGAACGTGGGGACTAGAAAACAAGAAGAAGAAAAGTAGAAACCTTGTTTTGTTAGAAGGTTAGTAAATTCTGTGTCCAAAATAGACCCAACAGCTAGCTGGCTCTCAGCCAAGGCTTTGCTGCAGTCAGATGAACTGCATTCCTCCATGTTACTGAAACCCAAGGAAAAAGTAACTTAGAGATGCCTGTAACCCATTGCTTTCATAACTTACCTCCTCTCAGGCTACCAGGTTAAGCTGTCTGTTATACTGTGTCCTCTCAGGCCAGACTTTTTAATAGGGACTCATACCAATACATATCAAAGTTAACAGAAATTGTAGCTCCTCCTTCTGTATTGTAAATGGCCTCTGCCACATGTAACTAGTCTAGAGAATCTGGATTTGGCATCTGAATGGTGACTGGATTTGGAAAATCTGAAGTGGGATTTATAGCTTGGAAGGTAAATTAAAAGTAGATCCATCATTACCTCAGTTCTCCTCAAGCATGGCAGCTTTTATAGAACAGCAGGATGGGTCAAGCAGATTCGTTTCCTTGGTGTTACAGAAGAAGTATTTGCACAGCCTCTCCTGAGGCCCAGCTCTGGCAGTTAATGACATGAAGTACTGACTTGGATGTGACTTCTATGCACACCAGATCCCTTTCCTTTGGAATTCCCTTTTTAATGTTGTTTTTCTTTCCTCTGTGCAGTTCAGGATGTGCTTCTCACATGGTTGTTGATGAACTGGAGAGCACCAGTTGAGTTGATGTCATGGACAGGGCAAGTGAGATGTTCAGGTGCTCAGTCTGTGCATGGTGCCTTTTCTTTCTGCATCTGTCAGTCTAGTGTTTTGTCTGTGCCTGGAAGGTAAATCAGCTGGAGCTGCACAGGACAAGTAGTTGCTGGGCACAGGAAGAGGACTGCTAGCTTGTCATTCATTCTTTGCCTCCAGACTCAGTTGTGGACCAGCAGAGATGGTTATTAGCCCTTACTGAGAGTTTGCCTCTGTCAGTGAGGTAAAGGCCCTTGTTTAAATGAGGCATGGGATGGCTGGTCCATAGGCTGCTTCTAATGGCACCTGGCACACAGCTCTCATGTTCTGTAACACGTACTTGCTGAACCTGTAGTAGCTTTTGGATCCTTTTATTCCTCCTCTATTATAGCAGGACAGAAAAACCTTCAGAAATTTACTTGTGTTCTCAGAGCTGGCATTGAGTGGTCTCTTGAAAACATTAAAATATGTAGGGAATGAAGGAGAAACTCCCCTGCCTTGCCAGACAGAAGGTGTGCATAGCCACAGTCCCTCACCTCCCGTGTTTTGGTAACTGAGTTGGAGGCTGCCTGGAGCAGTGTATGGAACAGCTGCTGTCTGCTCTGCCTGGGGAGATAGTGTTTTGCCTTTTAGTTTTCCATTTAGTTCTAGCGTTGGATTTGCCTTTGCCTGCCTCTCCTTCACCTGCCAGCAGTGCTTTTCTTGTCTGCTCTTGTCTCCTTCCTCCACCTTACCCATCCCATAATGAAAGCCAGTTGCCTTTGAACCAGGCAGAGCATCTCTCCACTGCACAGCAGTGCTGGTTTGAGATGTCTCATACAGCTGCTCTGGGAGCTTCTCTGAGCCTGGGTGACAGACATTAGTTGATACAGTTTGGAGCAGGAGACAAATTTTCCCAGCAAACTCTTGCAGTCAGCACCACTCAGGCTCAAAAGCACCTTTGGGATCCATAGTGTTGTCATTTTAAAGGTGAATGCTTCAGAAAAAAAAAATGTCCTAGGCTCCATCCCGATGTATGCTGTTAAGTCACTTTGATGTATGTAATGCTTCTGCTTCTGGCTTTCCTTATAGTGATGCAGAGTCATCTGTCCCATCCTCTCCTCCTCAGCACACAAGGAAACCTTGGGCACAGTGTGAACATGCAGTCATTTTTACGTAGGTCTTTCTGCTGTTGAGTTCCAGCTGCACACAGGGCATTTTCTTCCAGTGCCTGCCCAGATCTTTATGCTGGGGAAGTGGCAGGGGAGGCAAAGCAGTGTGGGGAAGGGATCTAAAGCCCCACTTTGAAACCAGAGATTGCATGATGTCTTGGTAGTGCTGACGTCAGAGAGGGAAAATCTGTCTCTGCCTCAGCACAATTATAATTCTTGCCCACTCAAGCAGGAATTCCTAAAGTCTTTTATTCAGTATAATAAAAGGTGCAAGGAGATTTTGCTGCTGCAAGTTATCACCCGAGCTAAACAGGATCCCCCTGGGTGAGCATCCTTGGAGCTTAGCATTGCAGAAGAGCTCTGGCAGCTGAGCTGTGGGATCTGCCAGCCCATGTAGTCACATACCTGTTCTGCAGAAACCTTTTGGGAGAGGAGGGAGAAGGATTTCTCTGCCTGGTGATTTTCATAGGGGTGCCAATGTTGAGGAAAATGAATATGTGGCACAAGGTGGCAGCCGCTGCCTTAGTGTAGATACATTTCCTGAACCAGTGTGAGTGTGTCAAGGCTAGCATGAATGCTTAGCATTGAGCTGTAGTGCAACAGTATAGGCTGAAAATTTGGGAGCACCAAACTGTCTCAAGGCATTATCTGTAAGCTGTTTCTGGGGGATCCTGGACTCCTAAATTAATTTCTGTTACAGCTCAGGGTGAGTTGTTGTTTGTGTAGGGCCTTTTTCAGCTGGTGTAAATAAAGAGGACACTCTTTAACACAGTGCCTGCAGCTCTGTATTTCTTCTTTACCCTTAAGGGCACTTTGCAGTCCATAATGAGAGATACAGGCTGATAGGTGATTGCTTAAGGCCATCACTCTGGACACTTATACTGCTTAGCCCATCCCTCTAAAATGTGATGTACTTACTCATCTTCTGTCTGGCTGTGAGAGGTTTGTAATTGCAAGGGAGGGCTTGTGCCTATGCCCCTGTCTGTGTAGGTGACAGGGCAATGACTAAGTTTATCATGTCCCAGATTAAGATTCCCACCCTGATAGAGTTCACTTCATCTGAGGGCATCAGATACTCTGATGTTTAATTGGGCTCTTAGCTGAACTTAGCTAATGCTCGTAAAGTTTTTGTGTCTTGCTGATTTTTTTCATTTCTTGGTGCTGTCTGACAGATGAATGTTCGTTCTCCTTTGTTTTCCAGAACATAGTTATATCTAGTGCAGCTGAAAGGGTAAGTCCCAGATTTTTTGTTTTTAAGTCAGAACAATCTGAAGATTTATTTGTGTCAGAAAATACAGCTTGAATTACATATTAAGCATATAAAAATTGTAAATTTAAATATGGTTGCCATTACCAAATAATTATATTGTGGGTTTTGGGATTATTTTTTTTTTTCAGTCGGTTGTTTTGTTTATTTGTTGTTTTTGGAGCGTTTTTTTTGCTGCTGCTGTGGTATTTTCCATGACAACTTTCTCCCAGATGGAGACTCTTGTTTGCCAGAATAGTGGTATTTGCTTGATTTCTTACTATCTTAAGTAGCTTGCTATTATGTAGCATTTAATCTTGCCTATCTGATAGCCTTGTCCTGCCTGCTCACACTGTCAGCCTGACAGCAAAGGCATTCACATATCCAAACTTCTTTGTTTTGTTTTAGCCTCTAGAGCTCCGAGGTCCTTATGATGTGGCTAATCTGTATCCTTTCCCAAAGTCAAAGGCAGCAGTTACTAGTAAGATTGTAAAGTTTAAAGTGGTTTTGAAATTTTTTTCATGCTTTGAAGTCCTTGAACTTTATACAGTGGTACTTGTTGGTGACCTATTCAATGAATTAGGACTCTGAGTATGTGTGGAAGATCAACAGATATTGGTCATGGGGTGGCATGAGAAGTCACTCTAATAGTGTTTGTGTTCAGCTACAGGAATGTTTTGTTGTGATGTGCATTAATGTTGTGTGGGTGTAAATGGAGAAGTTAATAAAACACATAAAAATCTATGGACACTATGAACCAAGAAATTATTACTTAGTATCTCCAAAGTGCCACATTTTTGGTAGAAGAAGCTATAAAATCGTATTTATGTAAAATTAAAAGTTCCTATCTGAGCAGTAAGTATTTTGGTTCTGAATTTTCCTGGTCTTTAGTTACACATGTAATGTTAAACAAGTGATTGTGTCCTAGAAACAAAGGAGAGTGTCTTTTCTTCCCTTCTTTTAGGAGTTCAGATGCATTTTTATTACACTCTCCACCCCAGTAGCACATATCTGGCCTGTCCCTGGAAGGAAAAGAGCATGCTCTGTGTCATGAGAAACATGTGGGAGGCTGTGTGGCCTGGAAGGATTTTATGTGCAACGTTTTCTTCCCTCTTAAAATGAGTGGTCAGGCTCAACCCAAATTAACATAACTAATGTGGTGTCATCCCTGCTAAAAGTGACTGTAAACTTCAGCAAAATGCTTTTGTATCAGATAGTGCCCTGTCCCCAAAACTGAAATTTCCCATGGGGTAATTTTTTCGCTTGATTATGCATATCTGAAATGTTCCCACATTGACAGACTTCTATTTTCAAAAGTACAGCCTCTTGTCTGGAAAGAAGCAACGTTTCCAGGAGGGTTGCTGGGGAACTGCAGCCAGGAGAGTTGGGTGCCTCATTTCTCTGCTTCTGGATAACCTTATGCAAAACGTCACTTTGAGTTACAGCTTCGCTAATTCCCAGTTATTTGTAGAGTAAGCAAATCTATCCTGCAGAGAGCCTTCCCTGTTCTGTTTGTTGCTTTCTGTGTGTTTTGATCCTGAACAGCAGTGACAGAGGTTTGCTGTTTGGCCTCCCAGAAGGCGAAGCAAAGGCAGCTGTGTCCACCAACTGCAGGGCCACCATGCTGCATGGAGGTGAGCATTTGTAAGCTCCTCTAAGTAACATGTACATTTGTTAAACTAAGTTCTTGTTGATGCATGTTCTCCAAAAGGTCTGACCCCTTACAGAGCAAGTCAGATCAGGGTTTTAGCTTCTTTGTCCAATGAATGAAGAGGAGCTTTTGTGGCAAGGCTGTTTTATTTTCCCTTGTTGCCATATTGGCAAATCAGTGGCTGAACTGATGGTGCTTTCTGTGCTGGAGAACTCACTCAACCAGGTTAATGAGTCATAAATGGTTGAACCAATATAGAGAGCTGCCTGCTGTGCTTCCTAGTGAAACTCTCCCATTTCAGAAAGGTTGGAATGTTGATCTTGGTGACACTGACAGAAACTAAGTGATTGACTTCCAAAAAAATGGGTATGCATGTGTTTTGCATTTGCCTTTTAACAGCATGGGTGCAGAAGCAACCTTAGTCATGTCCCTTTCTGATGCTGTAATATGTGGATTAATTCTGACTCACTCTTCAGTGATCATTTCAAACTCATGGAGAAATCAACAGGTTCTCCTCCAGCCTCCTACTCATCTACATAGTAATATAGAGTTTGTCAAATTTATATGAGATTTCTCAAGCCTGTCATTTGTCTTATCTGTTAATTAAATAGCAAGTGTCATCTCCCTTGTCCCAGAGAGGATACTAGCCCAGAATAAGTAAATATATTTCATCAACATTCTTGCAGAGCCTCTCTGCTAATAGAGTATGGGAATCTCTTCTAACTAAATTTTGCAGTAACTTTCCACCAGTAATTACAAAATTGGATTTGGTTTAATAGGTTATTTGACAAATGTGAGGATTTGGTAACATCACACACCAGAATTTCACGATAATGTTGAGAGTTCGGTAAATAAAATTCTTGAATACCATAAAGTCACTTCCTTGGTATGTAGGGGATCCTCGGCCAGTACAGTTGTGTCCACATGGTCTAAGCATCCTGGGATATGTGAATGCATTTTTTAGTATTTTTTTAAGAATAGTATGTTTGGCTCAGAAATGCTTTTGACAGTGCTTCAAGAATGTGTCCTTCTGTGATTGTTGAATGACTAAGCCTGGTTTCCTATGGTTTTGTGTCTCTGCAGCTCCTCAGGCCCTGCAGGCCTTGGTGTTCCTTGGTTTGCTAGAATTCTACACCCACCATTGTATTTCCCCATGTAGTTTCTCCACTCTATAGTGCAGTGAATCCTGAGCTCCTGCCCTTGCAGGTAGCTTCCCTGCTGTGTGTGCTGGCTAGCTGGCTGCTCAACATGTCCAGCAGTGCTTTGGGGCACAGACACCTGAACTGAATATGTCTTAAATGCATTTTACTTATTTGAGGTATTGGTACTGCAGCTTCTGCTTGTGTATTCCAGAAACTCGAAAGAGTGCCTGTGGTGTGGTCTACACAGTGAAGAAGCCTCGCAAGGTTGAGGAGGAAGAAACAGCAGTGCCAGCATGCAAAAAAGCTAAGACTCAAGCTTGAGGACTGAACCAGTTGTCAACAGAAGCCTCCATCTCTTCTTTACCCAGTGTTCCTCCAGCCAATCTAATTTTTCCCTTACTACCTTGCTTCGCCTGCAGAAGAACTATTCTTCCAGCATTCGAGTGAGGAAAACTGTGACTGAGACTGCTGAACCATATTCACCACATCTGAAAGGTCACACTGGGCTTCTGGCCAAGGTCAGGAGACTGACTTTTCACCCTGCCTTAGGTCTCCTGGAGTTAATGCAAACTCAACAGAACATTTCCAGCATGGAAATTTTCACTTGTACGCGTGCATTCCTTTTTTATTAAAAACATGTCTAAGAACACATGCCTTCATAGTCTAGCTCTTCTGATTTCTCAAGTTTTAAACACATCTCTGTACAACTGCAAGCCAGTAGATGAAGTTTACCTTCAAGTGGCCTATGAAGAAGAATAATAATACAGTAAAAAAATTAAATTGCTTCCTATTCAGTTTTATGATCAATGAAGATCCCAGGAATTGTCAGTTACTCGGAGGTATCTTGGATTTGGGTTACAGCAGGAGTTACTGACCTGACTTGACAGATACATATCCCAAAGGCCATCTGTGTTCTCAGCTCTTAAATCCAAACAGATGTTAGATCCATTAGATGTTTGCCAGAGATGGGAAGGAAGAGCCTGAGGTTACACTGAGGTGTGCTCAGCAGGAGGTGTTGCAGTATAGGAGCTGTCTCACCTAGGCCTGAGCAGTCTCCACCTCACATCATCTTTACTGTACCATTTCCTTCTTTACTTCCTGCTCTGGAATTGTTACCTATGCACGTGTTCATTTTGCTGCCTCTTGCTTTTCTGTTTTCCTTCATTTTAATGCCTCAGTAAACCTAATCTGGCTGCCAAAAAAATAGTCAAACAGATATAATCAGCAGAGCATTTTTGGAGCTCTTCCAAATGTTGACTGAAGTTTTTCTTTTCATTAAATGAATATAAAACTCACATAAGCTACTGTACTAAGATACTGTTGAGCCATTTTTACTGTGAGTATTCCAGTTCTCTACCAGTGCCCAACAGCAAGTTGAAAAGTGGAAGTGGTAACATGTAAAATACACTGCAGAAATCCTGCAGTGGGTCATTTTTGAGCTCTTGGTGACTGGACTGAACAGTATAGATTAAGTTCTCATAGATTTAACAGTTCTATATAATGCTGGTGTAAGTCACAACAGTTTTTGCTCCATTCAGCAATTACAAAATATATTTCCTGTGTGTTACTAGTTGTTGAATTTGTAACTTGAGTCCATTTTATTACAGGTATTAGAGAGGTTTTTATATATATATTTTTTTATATATGTGTGTGTGTGTGTAAATATATGCATAAAGTACTTATGGTATTACCTCTAAAATGATGCTCTAACCAGAGAAGAAGCAAACTGTGTTTGGTGCAGTTTTCTGAATGACATTAATCCTGCCTTGGGCAGAGAATAACCTACCTTGAACATGACAGAAGTTCTTTCATGACAGAAGTAACTGACATATGGAAGGAGGCTTTGAATGCTTGAGATCCTTTTTGCTGCTTGTTTGACTTTAAAAAATTAAACTCTTCGTCTTTGTCCTTTATTAGACACAGTGCTTCAGGAGCTGATTGAAAAGTTTCTTCTCCCCCAGTTCCCTGAAGCACATTGCTGTGGCCACCTGGGTGCCTGAATGCTGCTGCTCAGGTGATAAGCAGACTGAGTGAGCCAGCACTGATCATTTCTGTTTCCTGCAAGGCTTGCTCCCAGTGTCCAGGTAAGTGGGCAGAAACAAGCAGGGAAGCTGTGGCTTGCAGCAAAGGGCAGCAATTGAAGGCGTGCCGTAATTTCTAGAGAAGGATGTATGCACAAATTTGGCCTATAGTAATTAGGAATTTAACTGAATGCAGCACCTAAATACCCCTCTACTCTGCTCTCTCCCACCTGGAGTGCTGTGTCTGGGCAGCACAGGAAGAACATGGAGCTGTTGGAGTGTGTCCAGAGAGGGTCACAGCTGGGAAGAGGGATGGAGCATTTCTGTGTGGAACTGCTGAGAGAGCTGGGGTTGTTCAGCCTGGACAATGGAAGGCTCCAGCACCACCTTATTGGGGCCTTTCAGTATTTAAAGGGGACTTATAAGAAAGATTTCTCCACAATTTTCATCACAGCTTGTTGTGATGGGTTTAATCTAAAAAAAGGTGGATTTAGTTTGGATAGAAGAAAGAAGTCTTTTACAATGAGGGTGTTGAAGCACTAGCACAGGTTGTCCTGAGAGGTGGTAGATATCCTATCCCTCGAAACATTCAAGGCCAGGGGGGACAGGGTTCTGAGCAACCTGATCTTGTTGAAAATTCTCTGCTCATTGCAGAGGGGTTGGAATAGATGAGCTTTAAAGGTCCTTTCCAGCCCAGATTGTTCTATGATTCTATGAAATGGGACATCAGGCCCTGACTGACAGCACTGAAGGTTGTCTTGCTTCTGCTAAAGCAAGGAAGAAGTGTCTGTCTTTCCTAACAGTACTTGACATCTCTCTTGGCTTGGATAACTGGAACTGTCTCGTGTTTCACATAGTCACTAAGAAATTATATTTTTTAAATCAAACTCAGTAATAGAACTGTAACTTTCTTTTACTAGCTATTCAAAGTACGGTGTTTCTGCTTTCACATGTGTCTCCATTTAACTAAGTAAGTCAGATGGGGTTTATCTAACAGTGGCAGGGAGGTTGGTTGCTCAAGGGATGGCTGCTCTTGGCAGCTGAGGCTTTTTTAATTTTTAAGAATTTTACAGCAGACACGCTGTGAACTTTCTTTAAAGAGAAACAGAATTACCCCATGCATGCTCACCACTCCAGCAAGTAAAAAGAACCACTCTATTAATTTAATCTGAAATGGATCAGTTCAAAATTTACAGAAAAAGCAGTACAAATTTACAAATATACATAATCTGATTTTGCATTCTTCTATCATCATACTTTGTAGTAGTCAAATTTAAAAAAAATTCACTTCCCTGATACAGTCTCCTCTCACCTTCACAACATTGTATCTGAATCCTTCAGTCCAGAGGTGTACATGGTGGCTGCAGCTCTGTCCTCGAGCTCGTTAGCAACCACCATTGCCAAACCCTGAGTAAACACCATTACTGAACTACTTCATTAAATCCACTTGGCACTTCAGTATACCTTCTTCCATTGCTCTTCCACATACCGCCACTCAATTCACAGGTTATTTTAGTAGTGAGACAAGGCAACAGTTGCAAGTATTTGCTATTTAGAGCTATTGGAAGGCTTGAGGAAAGTTGCTAATCTAGTTGAAAATGCTGCCATTTAAGACAAAAGGATTTTTGTTGCAGGCAAAAATTGCATTTAGACCATCTATAAAAAAAAAAAGCTTAAATAATGAGCATCATTAAAAATTACTTTTAAATAAATAAATAATAAATAGAAATAAATAAAGCTATTTTAGAGCTAGTGGAATTTTAACACTCAACCTGTGTTTTAAAGTAATTTCTTTGCAAGTTTCTTGCAGTTTTCAGTGAAGGCACCTCAAATAATCCAGTGTCATAAATATTTTCAATAGATGTTCAAGGACATTTTCATCCAGGTTTGTGGAAACCATTTCAAAGCAGCAAGAAGAGCATGGTCTGGTTTCTCTCTTCAGAATTTACCTAGACGGGCACTCTTTTTGGAATTGTCTTTCAGGCTGTTGAATATCTCTTTGGTGCCATTCTGCCACTGAAGAACAAGATCCATAGGGGTTTTCCCTTCCTGGTTAAAAGAAACAGGAATATTTAATTTCATCCATTGATGGCCAAGTCCTTGTTCTTTCCTAAATATTTGTTCAGTGCATCTGCATGATGTGAATCCCTTCTGCATACACAGGTTTAGACTTACTCTTGCACCCCTGAGGTCAGAGTACTTTTGCTCTACAGATCTAGTCCCAGTCCTGGTCAGACCAATGATGAAAATTCCCTGGGTTTCAGTGGGTTTAGGCAAATGCTGTGACCAGCAGAACATGCGGGTGTTCCTTTTATTCTAATTTCAAGTGACTAGAAACATATTCAGGTGCAATCTCAGTAAGACACTCTTCATATAATGTAAAATTCAGATAAGAATTGAATTAGGGTATGAACCACAGGAATTAAGTAGGATCAATTTTTGTGTGCAGATGAAGTCTGAGAGCAAGTCTCTGGCCTTTGGGGCTGTGCCTTCCATAACTGTCATACTCTGATGAGGGATAATGCTGGGAGCAGCCACACTTCAGGGAGCTGGGCAGAGAGTGCTCCAGTGACTGTTTTCTTCCTTGTCCCCTGGGTTTTGACCAATTGTCAGTCAAAACTGGCAACGGTAAAACCCGTGCTATGGCTGCTAGGTTTGGATTTGGGAAAAAAGTTGAAGTGGTATATTTAACAAGTGGTTACAGAGCTGGAGCAAAGCTGCTGCTGCAGTGGCTCTGAGCGCAGCCAGGCTGGGACTGCTGTGTCTGTGCTCAGCCACAGGGCTTTGTTGCCCAGCAGTAAGGTTAATGGCCAGTCCTCCTGGTGCAGTGCTGGCCCTCAGCTGTGGCTTTAACTAAGAGGAGATTTCTCTTACAAGCTGAGAGCTTTGTTGTCTCTGTGGTGGTTGAAGCCTGGGAGTTGTGCAGTAAGTGTCTGATTATTGCATCTTTTCATTATATGAGTAATTAAAATAAATCACAGAAAAGTTGTCTACGTGCAGATAGTGGGTTCTGGTTTTAAAAGAGGTAGTGAGTTTTCCTCTCTTCCCTGATCTCCCCCAAGTTACCCTTTCCCTGTCTCAGCTCTGCTTTAATTAGCTCTGAAGTGATCTAATTAAGTCTGTTCAAAATAGTGTCTCCCGGTCTTATCTTGAAAGCTGTGGAACGGCTCTGGTGGGAAACCTATTTTAAAGCATTTTAAAATCACTTACGCAGTTCTTCAGAGTCAGATCTGCTCCGTGCAGAATCAGAAGCCTGATGATTTTGTAGCGGTTCAGCCTCACGGCGTCGTGCATTGGCGTGTCTCCTTCCTAGAGGTGCGGAGCACATTGTGAGAGCACTGCCAGCCGGCCCAGCTGGGGGCTGTGCGGGGCTGTGCGGGGCTGTGCGGGGCTGTGCGGGGCGCTTACCCTGTCCCTGGCGTTGAGATCCGCCTCGCAGGCAATGAGATGCTCGCCGCAGTCGTAGCGACCCGTCCGCACTGCCACATGCAAGGGCGTACTGAGCAGCTGAGGGTCAGGGAGGAGACGGTCAGTGACACCAAACAGGTCAAAGCTGCTTCAAAAACAGCTGCTAGAAACTGCTGGGAGTAAGGGACAGCTTTTTGTCTTCAATTAAAAAAGCTGCAGATTTCCTGAAG